CCTTTTGAAATAATAGTATTTTCTAAGGTCCTTAACTGTGATACTGAGTTGTTTAGCTGTAGTGAATAGAATTGTTAGATTAACTTTGTCTATCTGTTTGTACTCCTCAGGAAGCTCTGGTAAATCTGTCAGATTTACTGTCATATAGCTATCTGAGAATAATGCAGGTACCTGGTATATTGGTAGTATTTCATCTATGAATGCACATGCAGCAGCCTTATCTTCAATTAGAAAAACATATTTGTTTTCAAGATGTAGTTTGTTTGGATCATTTAGTAGACAACGTCTCTGTATAATATAATCATTCGGTAATCTTATAAAGGTATAACTCTCCTTTAGAAGATGTATATATTCTTTAAAATCTTCTGCATTCTTTAAAAGAAAAGGGAATATTTCTCTGAGGCGAGATATGAGCTCCTGTGGTGTACAGGGAAGTAGTAGTTTTAGTACTGATAAGTCAAAGTATGTATCTAGAAGGTGATATACAATATATGTTGACTGTAATTTCTTCTTGTATTTTGTAATTGATTTTAATTCTGCAAAAGTGGTAATTGGAAATAGGTCTCTTAAAGATTTAGCAAGTAATGATGGTGACTCTGGAAGTAGTAGCCTCTTGTCATCAAAATATGATTCTGGAATTCACGTGAATATATAGACAAGTCTTAGTACCTTTGCTATTACTCCTGCTTGTCGTTTATCTTTGTTTGGGAGTGTAAAAAGAATTGCTTCTCTGATATTATTATTTATAAGATTTGGAATGTTAGGTAATGGTACGAGAAGATGGTCTTTCTTAGTCTTGACTATATTTAATATATCTTCAAATTTTAACTCAGTTTGTATTTTTGTGAAGTTAATTAAGTAGAAGATATGTTGAGTTATCTCATATGTATCTAGTTTTCCCATATCTAAGTTTAGGAAAGAATCTAATGATAGTTTTGTACATAATTTTATGAATATCTGATCTCTGTTTTTCTTGTTTGTAATACAGATACTATGTAATTTTTTATATAACTCTAGAGCATTATACATTAAAGATTCAAACTCAAGCTGGTATGCTAGATGAGAAGCTACTACTCTTGTAAATGAGCAAAAGAAAGCTGTATTACGATATTCAAATTTCTTTTTAATAGCATGTGGAATATTGAATGAAGTTGGAAGTATTTCTAGTTTGTATCTAATCAACTCTTCCATAGTCTCTGTTGTTATAAGGAAATTGATGATTCTGTCTAAATTCCAAATTTGTGCATCATACCTATTGAGTTTCTTTTTTCTGATATCGTATAGACTTTCTTTGAACTGCTGAGCCCAGATACTTCCATAGTCAGTTCTATTTTGAGTAGTTGTTTGTCTATATAGACCTCGTGATATAATATGGCTATAAAAAGGATGTATACTTTTACTATCTTCTATTGTATTATCTGAACCTGCTTCTGACATATAATTATTTTGCTCCACCAGAGTAGATTCATTCTTTGTTCCAGTTGTTTAGATCACCTGCTCCTTGTTGGCTAAGTTTGTTATTTTAGTATCTAGCGTAGAAAAATCAGTACAGATCTTTTTTCCCTTTTTGGTTGATGTTTGCTGCAGTTGATCCCAATTTGTGTTTGTTGTATTATGATTCTCAGGTGACATAGGATTGCTTAAATTTTCAGAGAAGGAAGCATCGCTACTTTGTTGTATTAATATATCGTCTTCAGTTTGTATTTCATTTTGGAGACTGCTATTGCTAGTAGTAGAAGTAGTAGAGTTCTTTCTTTATTTTTTGCTATTTTGTGTATTCTTTTGTAATATGTTTGCTATACTACTTATTATTTCACTATAACAGAATAGTTTTGTATTCTTTTGTTTTGTTGCCAAACTAGTCAGCAACAAGTCTTTGAAGAGTATTGGTATAGCAGAAACTCTGTCATATGTTCTCTTAATCTTGTTTAAGTTACAGTCTGTAGAGAGGCTTGTTACAATATATTATAATAGTTATTTAATTACTTATTTACTTGTATATTTCGTTTGTCGTTTTGTTGTTTTATTTTTTATATAAAACTCAGAGGTACAGGAAAGAGTTTTTTTACAGCTTGTAAATTGTATATCACTTCTAAAATTTATGAAATTAATAAAGTTTAGCTGATAGTATTTGTATAAAGTAAAAAATAAAAAATAAAAAAAAAATAAAAAATTTCTAATTTTAGTTATAAAGTTTAATATTTAAAAATTTTTTTTTATATTAAAGCTAATAAAATTGCATAATTTTATAAAATAAAATATTGTTACTTAGGTTAGTTATTTAATTTTATTAATTCAGATTAGATTAATTTATTTTAAAAATTATCTACAAAACTTATTTTTCTAATATTTATACTAGAAGTTAATTTAAATTTATTTTAAAGTATAAGTATAAAAATATTTTTAATTTAAATATTTAAAATAAATAATAAATTATTATTAAAAATTATAAAATTTTACTTTATTTACTTAATTTTAAAGTATAAATATAAGATGTTTAAGTTAAATATTTAAAATAAGCTATTGAAGTTTATAAATATTTACTATCTGCTATATACTTAACTTTATATATTTTATTTATATTTAATTTAATTTAAAAATATAAGTATAAAATTATATAAAATTTAGAAATTTTATGAACAAATTTGTGTTCGATTAATAATAATAAAGATAAATTAGTATTTAGATATATATTATTTGATATATATAATATTTAACAACTCTAATATAATAGAATATTAATAAGATTGATAAGAAATAAAATCAAATTCAAATATAATTTTACTTATCTGTAGCTATTAGAAAATTTTAGTTTTTTAAGGTTTTTAACATTCTTGATATCTATATTATTTGCTTATTTTCTATTAATAACAATCAATTATTTAAAGAGAAACCTTAGCCTAGACCCAGATTTTATGTTAATTAATATGAACCTTATAAAGGTTTATATTAAAATTTTTTTTTTATTCTAGACCTCAATGAGGTTTACGTTAAATATAGAATAACCTTAACCTAAACCCAAATTTTATATATGATATTAAAAAAGTTTATTATATATACCAGTAGATCAATACCTTTTAAACGCGAAACTTCATTTTTTTTTAATACGTATATATTCAAAAATAATTAATATAGAAAATAAGTCACATCTACAACTTGGAGAATCTTTTTCAACTCAAGAAGAGTTTTTTGAAACAATTTAGCAATATGGTCTTAGTCAAGGTTTTACAATTAGATATAATAAAGTTGATAATAGAAATAAAGAAAAAGAAATACGTAAAAGAACAATTTTATGTTCACGCAAAGGTACACCTGTAGCAAAGAAAGATGATAATAAACCAAAGCAGCAAAGAGAATCAAAACGATGTGGTTGCAAATATATGGTACGCACGTCATTAAATAAAGAAAATAATAAATGGTATATTATTGCACTACAAGAAATACACAATCATGTGATGATTAAACAAGAAGAATTAAGGTTTACTCAACAAGAATGAAATCTTCCAGATAATGTTAAAGAACGAGTTCTTTTATTACGACGTGCAGGATGTGATGTATCTCAAATTTTATTTATATTAAAAGAAGAATTTTCAGAGGAAATTACATGGATCTATAATGATATATATAATTTTATTTACCGTACACAAGAATTAAACAATGAGAAATTTGATGCTTCTAAATTTATTCAAATACTTAAGCTAATGCAAGAAGAAAATCCTGAATTTAAATTTTCTTATATGGTTAATTCTGAAACAAACAGGCTTAAGCATGTAATTTGGATGTTTACAGAACAACAAATATATTATTCACAGTTTAATGATATTATTGTATTTGATAATACTTATCAAACAAACCGATTTAATATGCCATTTGGAATTTTTACAGGTATTAATAATTTGGAACAAAGTATTTGTTTTGCAGGAGCACTAATGAGCAATGAAACTAAAGCAAGCTTTATTTGGATTTTTTTAGAATTTCTTAAAATGATTAATATGAAAGCATTACAAGTTTTACTAACAGATGACGATAAAGAAATTTCTAATACTTATAATAATACTTTTTATTATTATAATACAAAACATCGTCTCTGTCAATAGCATTTATTAAAAAATGTTATGAAGAATCTTATTAGCAAATTAGGCAACCAATGGTCTAACTTTATTAAGTGATTCTATAAATGTTTAGAAGAATGTGATCAAATTACTTTTAATGAATTGTAGAATTCTCTCAAAAACGATTATCCAAAAGCTGTTGCTTATTTAGTTCAAATGGAAAAAACTGTTGACAAATAGGCTGCTTGCTATAATCATATTGTATTTATGGCTGATATGACTACAACTCAATGAGGAGAATCAATGAATCATTTAATGAAAGGATATATGGATACAACAACATCGTTATCAGTATTTATTCAAGCATTTAAAACAGCATTAGATTCTCATAAAGAATATATTGAGCTTGAAATTTATCGACAAGATAACAATAATATTACTTTTCAAACTACCAGTCCTTATGAAAAACAAGCAGCACATTTTTTAACTCGATATACTTTACGTAAAACACAAGAGCAACTTATTCAATCACTTAATTATAAATATGAAACTACTGAGTACATATATATAATTTATTTTAGAAAAAATTTTTATTTTTATATGTATTTTTTATTTATTATTATTTTTTTTAGTAACTTCAAAAATACAACTATTTTAATGTTTGTTCAATGACATGAAAGTAAATCTTTACCACGATCAGTTACATATTGTTCAAGTTCAGAAAGTTTTGAATGTAGTTGTGAATATACTCAATTTTCAGGCTTTATTTGTTGTCATATTTTTCATACAGCAATACAATTAAATCTCGAAGAACTTCTTACATCATTATTTTACTTAAGATGGCATAAAAATATATCTGAGCTCAAACTAGCACAATGGTATCATGAATTTTATTCAACTACAACAGTAGATTCAACAATTTTATATTCAACTATAACTTACAAAAACTAAGAACAAGATCAAAATTTTCTTCTTACACGACTTCTTAATAAAATTCAACAATTTACTAAAACAAACCCACATCTTACAGAAAAATTCATAAATTCGATTGGAACAATTTTAGAGTTAGAAATCAAGACTATAGAGTTAAATCAGCAACCTTCAGACGATAATAGAATTAATAATCCATTAATTGCAAAAACTAAAGGTGCTCCAAAAAAGCGAAAAACGTCTGATGTAGAAAAACAAGTATCAAAAAAGTCAAAACCAATTAACAAACAAGAACGAATTACTATTAATAAAGAAAACAAACAAGAAAATTCATTAAAAACTTTATGTTTAGAATGTAACGTATTACTTATAAATCAGTTAAAAAAACAAAAAGGTATTTTTACTGTATTTTAAATTTTAATTTTTTATTTATTTTTTTTCTAACTATATATATATATTTATATAGAAAACTTTTTAGAAACAAATAAATCTTATACGTGTTCACTACA